TGATTTTGGCTGAGTATAAATTGCCTGAAATTACTTCGTTGCCATCGTTGTAAAGAACTCTATCGATAACTGGTGTGGAGAGTGTGTCAGAATATGTAACATTGCCGGTACCTAACTCGGATGTATGATTGGCGGCGAACTCAACAACAACAAGTAACTTTGTCTTATTATGATCCTCTGGAGCGTTAACTTTGAAAGTCCATTCTGTCTTGTTCGTGCTTGCTACGGCTGTTGCAGTGCTAACATTTTGTGATGTTTTGACGCTAGTGACAGAGGCGCTGGAAGTTGCTTTCTGTTGCAAAGAGATAATATGTCTTTGTAATTGTTAAGTTACTTTTGAGTATGATTTTGGCTGAGTATAAATTGCCTGAAATTACTTCGTTGCCATCGTTGTAAAGAACTCTATCGATAACTGGTGTGGAGAGTGTGTCAGAATATGTAACATTGCCGGTACCTAACTCGGATGTATGATTGGCGGCGAACTCAACAACAACAAGTAACTTTGTCTTATTATGATCCTCTGGAGCGTTAACTTTGAAAGTCCATTCTGTCTTGTTCGTGCTTGCTACGGCTGTTGCAGTGCTAACATTTTGTGATGTTTTGACGCTAGTGACAGAGGCGCTGGAAGTGTTGCTTTCTGTTGCAAAGAGATAATATGTCTTTGTAATTGTTAAGTTACTTTTGAGTATGATTTTGGCTGAGTATAAATTGCCTGAAATTACTTCGTTGCCATCGTTGTAAAGAACTCTATCGATAACTGGTGTGGAGAGTGTGTCAGAATATGTAACATTGCCGGTACCTAACTCGGATGTATGATTGGCGGCGAACTCAACAACAACAAGTAACTTTGTCTTATTATGATCCTCTGGAGCGTTAACTTTGAAAGTCCATTCTGTCTTGTTCGTGCTTGCTACGGCTGTTGCAGTGCTAACATTTTGTGATGTTTTGACGCTAGTGACAGAGGCGCTGGAAGCGTTGCTTTCTGTTGCAAAGAGATAATATGTCTTTGTAATTGTTAAGTTACTTTTGAGTATGATTTTGGCTGAGTATAAATTGCCTGAAATTACTTCGTTGCCATCGTTGTAAAGAACTCTATCGATAACTGGTGTGGAGAGTGTGTCAGAATATGTAACATTGCCGGTACCTAACTCGGATGTATGATTGGCGGCGAACTCAACAACAACAAGTAACTTTGTCTTATTATGATCCTCTGGAGCGTTAACTTTGAAAGTCCATTCTACTTGTTCGTATTTATATCCAGTGAAGATAGAATAGAAGTTTGGAGATGGTGTATAGAACTTTATACCTCGAACTGAAAAATCTTCTAACTTTGACAATAAGATATCCCAAGCATCTAACATCTTCCTTCCAACTTGTACAACTTTTATTTTCTTAAGTTTCTGTCTACATTCTTGTTCAGACACTATTGTTGCTCTTGGTTTGTTAAAGACAACATCCCATTCTTTCATGACATAACATTCTGGGGCAGAGTCAACATAAATGACTAAACGTTTCAAATTCTCGACTGCTTTGTTATAGTCTCGAAATGGACACATATTTCTGAATGCTTGGAAGTCATAAAAATCTGAAACATCTATTCTGTACATTTTTTTATAAAATAAAAAAAAATATTTTTTTATTCTTGAGCTTGTTGTTCCATTTGTTCCATTTGTTGCATTTGTTGTTCTTGAGCTATTTGTTGTTGAAGTTGTTCTTGTAATACAATACTTTCACCAGTTGCATCTTCCAATTCGAAACTTTCTGCCGTCATTGACAAATACATAGGACATAAAAGTTTTACAGGAACAAAGTTTGCGTCAACTAAGGTTAAGTTTATGTTTGCTAAAGTGTTTGAGTTTACTAAAGCTGAAAACTCTGCATTCGAATGAACAATAGGCAAACCAGCAGAGAAAGTATTGTTTATACGCATAAGTATCTTTTGGTCATAATAGTTTCTGTCGACATTCGAATAACACTTTGAACCTAAGTTTGAAACAATATATAAGATTGGTGTGCTTAAAGTCAATGGAACAGACATTCCTTGTATGACACCTTTTCCTGTTATAGGAAACTGTTGGTAGTAAAAACCAGATATAAGTTTTGTATTATAACTCATATCGTTTATAGTAAACTCAGTCGGACATTCAAACATAATGAAACCTGCTCTAGTTGCAGCACATGTTACACCCGTCCTTAAAGTATTAAATAAGTCAACAAAACCTGTTGGTGGTATATCTGAGTAAGTATCTTCAAAGGAGTATTTTTTACCATTCACAACAATAAAGTCTTCTGGTGTCAAAAGAGCAAAACAGGCTTTAGTCGTCATTGTGTTTAAGGTTAGTTTACAATATCGTCCTTGAGGACTTTGTAAGTTTGTTGTTATAGAATTATATGACTCAGGGTTTTTAGTCGTAATAGTATAAACCATTATGTCTTCTGCCATTTACTTAGCAAATAAATTTTAATGAAATGTTGTGGTCGTCAAATATTTTTATAACGTCTGGGAAACTATATTTTAAGTTCAACGTTTCACCTCCTTTCATAACGTATATCTTGTCAATGACATTATATGAAACACCACAGCAACTAATGTCGGGTTCTATTTCTTTGATGTTTATATCGTCTGCCTCTGTCAAAAGTTTCAATAGTTCTTTCAAAACTTCATGAGGTGCAATGACATATGAGTTCACTTTTACAGGGTTGTGTTCGACCAAGTTTAACATTATACTTAAAGCTTGACAAATCTTCTCCTGAGTTTTAAGTTTGTCTTTCAGTTGTTGGTAGTCGTTTCGAATATCTGCAACAGAACTTAAGTCTCTGCTAACTTCAGGATATGTTGGTTGTTCTTTTACAGGAACTATTGTTATACCATCTTCGTCTTCGTATGGTTTCCCCACTTCAACATCTCTGTCTTTGACATTGACAACAACACTTTGACTGTTTGTTTGAGTTGGTGAATTTAACTTCACATCTGCCACCGCCATTAAACCTTTTGAAACACTTACACTTCTATTTTTCGGAAATGACATTTTACTTAGAATAAAAAGATGGACGTATTCAGATATCTCTTCGAATTGAAGCAAAACAAAGTTTACACACACAAACAATACAAATACATTGACAGAATAGTTCTTTACACAAACAATGGAAAATGTTATAGAATAGCAGTCTTTGCTGAACCTAAATATTTTCATAAAGCAAAGAAAGTTGGTATAACTGAAATGGTGAAAGTTCTTGAAGCAGACAAAAATATAACTTCAAAACTTACAGATATTTCTAAAGGAAAGTTTATAATACAATATTATGTCAAAACTGGCGTACTGTCAATATTTGACGGAGAGAAGTCAGTTCAAGAACAACTTACTGACCTGCTGCCAAAATCTGCTCGATGGAAGCTGTCGTTATGCCAATCTGAGGAGCCCCAGCAGGTTTCATCGAACGAATTTTCAAAAGAGCATCTTCCGTGAAAAGTGCTATTGGTTTTGTAAACTTCTTTGCTTTCAATTCATCTGGACCGTCTCTGTCACCAGTATATTGTATTTGAACTGTACCAACAGTTGAAATACCACCCATAAAGTCTTCTGAGTCAGCAAATGGAATGCCAAGCCAAAAGTTTGAACGGTCTCCATTTGTATATTGAGTTTTTTGACCTCCTGTATGGGTCCATACTTTCACATATGGCATAATAGAACTTTGCATTTCAGGGTTAATGGTTGTTGTGAAGTTGTTGTTAAAGTTCATAGCATCTAATGTCAAGTTGTATGACCTCATATCCTCAACTGTAGAATATTCTTCTCTTGGATAATATTTGCCATCTATGTTTATATGATATTTAATACCAGGGTTGTAGAAACAAGAATAGTCATTTATAGTTCGTCTGAAAAGAACAAACATAGTATCTGCATGTTTCATTGCAGTTGTTAAGGCAATATCTGTTCTTGCACCTGGGTCAGCACTTTGGTTTCCAACTTCACCTGCAAAGTCTTTGACAGATATTTGGTGTATAGGGAACATAAGTGGAACTGCAATATATTTGGCAGCTAAAGCATTTGAAATATCTGGGTCCAACATATAGACTGCAAGTCTGCTTTCTATTCTCTTGCATTCAAATTTTTCGCATGTGAACTTAACTGGGTCCCAAGCATCTCCAGCAGCATTGAAATAATAGTTTACTTCAGTGTTGAGGTTTGAGAAACCAAAGTCTAAGTCAACTTTGTCTTTGCAAAATTCGGCGAATGACGTTTTATTTGTTCCCTTTACGTCTGTAAGAGTGAATGGGTCTTGTGTTGGTGCAATGACTAAGTTATTTTTGCTTGGAGTAAGTTCGATAGAAATTTTTCCTGCCCAGTTTGGCAAGTATCTTAAAAACCTGAAGATGAGGAAAGATGACAAAGGAACTCTAAGTTTCAGTTTTACTTTAGTGGCAGCAGTTCCATCTGAACCAGAAAGGTTAACATAAACTCCTGGAACGTTAGGGTCAAGTCTTCTTATTTTCTCAATAGTTGCATACTGGTCTGTTTGTTCTCTAGCTTGTGGTTGTACTGAGTTTCTTAAAGCGAACCATTCATAGTTTGCCCATGTTACTGTTTGAACTAAGTCAGAGTTAGAATATATCTTATATCCCATGAAAACTTCTGGAGCATATTGGTATCCGACATAGAAAATTCCATTGCAACCTTTCTTTTCAGACAACTTGGCAGAAGGTTTTATTTCAATGTCTTGTTCCACGTATAAGAAAGAGTTGTCAATAGAAATAATATGAAACCTGTCGCAAGCAATATCTACTGTTGTTGAAGAACCTTCTCCAAACTCACCTACGTTTCCATAAGAAACAGCAGTTGTATATTCGTAAGTTCCAGGAACTATTTCTGACCTTCTAATGGCATTGTCGCATTCGTTATACCATTCGGAAACATTTCCATTCATGGCATCCAAAACTGTTGGCGTTATATTCTGAGCGGCGTACATTTCATATGGGTAAAAATATAGAATAGTTGGATTTATATGTCATAATAGAACCCACTCGGACCAAGCTTTACTTTCTTCCTGACTGAGTTTTTAACTCTTCTTTTTCCTTCATTGCCACTACTTTCACTAGATGAAGTTACTTCTTCACTACTTTCACTTTGTTCTACTCTTCTCTTCTTCTTTGGTGTCGCTTTTGGTAACTTGCCCTCTGCTTCAAGTTGTTGCATCTTTGCCTCATGTTCACCTAGTATGTTGTAAATTTCCCATGTCCTTTTTGCCTTTGGGCTCTGGTCGCCCATCTCAGGTAACCTATATCCTAGAAAGATTTTGTCATAGTTTGTATTTGAGTCTTCGCGTATTGTTTGCATGACTCTTTCCTGAGTTTCCGGTTCAAGCTCTTCAAACAGAGCTTGTCCATATGGAATAAGCTCGTTTCCAAATATATGTTTTTGTAGCCATTCTGGTTTTCTTTCCATGTTACCAATAATATCTTTTGTGAATGGGAAAGCTTTTACCCAATGTTTCAGTCTTTCGTCATTTATTTCTGTAGTTGGTTTTATTTTGTCAAGGAACATGTTTTTCAATACTAACATTTCATTTGGTACTGTCCATTTGAGTTTTCTTAAATATTCATCCCTTCTCGGTTCATTGTCTGCAAAGTAAGTTTTTATGACATTTTGTAAACTTTCGTTTGCAAGGTCATGTACAATAGGTTCTCTTCCTTCTCTCTCCCTAACTGTCTTTCTAAACTCTTCACCAAATATACCATCTCTATGGTTCTGTGTAGTTCTTTGAGATAAATGTTTTAGAACGTCAGGTGTTATATTTCCATCAGCCATGTTCATTTCATACTGGTTCAAAATATCTGCATCTTTCATATCTTTCAATGGCATTAAAGCCGCGCTGAAAATACCAGCTATATCTGGTTCACCATTCACTTCCATTGCGTCTACAACTTCTTGGAATTGTGGTTGTAAGTTTATGAACCACCTATCCGGATTAGCTTTATGACCCCATCTCATTGTAGTTCCATAGTCTGCAGAAACAAAAGTAGGTTTGTTTCCATATTGGTTAGGTTCTGAATGAACTTTAAACAATGTTTCATTTCTATATGTTTTGTTGAAATTTAACCTTTTATTTTCACCGAGTTCAGCCAAGATTGAACGTTATATGGTCGTAAGTAAAAAGGATTGTTGTATTTGCGTACATTATCTTTCAGTACTTCCATTCTATGCTGAATATTTTCATCTGATGTTGGAGTCTTTTGTATGTCGGCAAACATTTTTCGATATTCTTCTACTATGTCAGCCGAATTTTTTTTAGACTCTTGAAAGATTCCATATTCACCTCATACTCTTGTTGAGGGTCAAGATTTTTCGGCTGTTCCAAATCTTCATCTAGTTCTGTGAGGTTAGTTTCCAAAGGAGGACTTGTTCGTTTCCTTCAGGCTCTTCTAGCTGTTGTTGCTGAACTATTTCTTCCATGTCTGGTTGTATCTGAACTTCTTCCTGTTGAGTTTCTTGTACCTCATCTGCTGGCATTTCATATATTCCGAGACCGTTTTTAAACAAGTTCCCTATCTAAGTCATCCGGACTCATAAACCTTTCTTCTTTCGTTCCGTCTCTATTTTTTACGCGTTTCATGAAGAGAGTTGAATTGTCATTTAGCTCTGACACCAAATATCTCGGAGTAAATTCGTTCATGTCATTTGGATGATATGCTATTAAATCATATCCCTTAGCGAGCTTGTATTTTCCAGGTTTGAGATTATATCCGATTTGATGCTGAACCATAAAGCTAAATAGGTTCGGGTCTGTATTTCCTTCCTTGAACTTTCTAATAGCTTCTTTATATCTGTCACTAAAGTCAAGAGTATCTGGGTAACCATATCTTCCTTAAGCATTTTTAAGAAATCTTGGTTTCCTTGTTCTCTACTTCTTTTATGTCCTTGCTCTGTTTGTGGTTGTTGTGCTGGTTGTGGAGGTGGTTGTTGTGCAGGGTTTTGAACTGTTGGTTGCTGTGCTGGTTGTGGAGGTGGTTGTTGTGCTGGTTGTTGTTGTTGTTGTGGTGCTGGATTTTGAACTGTTGGTTGTTGTGTTGGTTTTGGTGCATGCCTGTGTCTGTGTCCATGTGACGATGTAAATGTTTTAGGTAGTCCTGGTGCAGGTGCTTCTCTTGGAGGGTTTGGTGGTATATAAGTTCCACTAGCTAGTATATAAGTTCCACCAGCTGGTATATAAGTTCCACCAGCTGGCACATATGTTCCATCTGCAGCATAATGTCCTACCTGACTTTTCGTTCTTAAGAAAGCATTTACTAGGTCTCTTTTGGTCTGTTGTAACTCTTTTTCTTGACTTTCCACAACAGCTGTTCTAACGGCGTCATGGGCACTTTGAACTGCCTGTCTCGTTGCTGCATCTGTTATTTTCGTCATATTTTGTGCTACTTCTTTTAACTCTTTGTCGAAACCTTCAGACTTCAGTTTCTTTCCAGATGAGAAGTCGTTCACTAGTTTCACCTTACTATGAAGAGCTTCGAAGGCGTTCTTAAAGTCAGCATTCGTTAAAGCTTCATTTGAACTGTCTTCATCCGCTTGTATTTTTGTCCTTATTGACCCTATAAGTTGGGCTGCTTTAGCGTTGGCTTGGGCGTCTAACCAGTCATTATTAGCTTTTATATATTCTGCGCTTTTCATTGCCTTTTGCATGGCTGCGTCGTTATTTTTACTTTCTTGTGCTAAGTTTTCATACTGTACGGTTTGGTTTTGCAACTGTAAAAGTTTTTCTGCCTTTACATTTGCTTCAACTTCTTTTTTATACTCATCGCTATCCATATATGTCTTCAGGGCTTTTTGTTTTTATTTCTTCATCTTTCAGTACTTTATATTGAGTAGTATGGTTTTTCAAATTTATAACATCTTGTTCCATTTTTGCTACTTCTGCTGCTTTTTCTGACACTTTTTTCGCATATTCCTCTGTACTTAGTTCTTTCAGTTGTTCTTCTTTCTTCTTTTTCTCTTACGTTTAACTCATTGAGTTTCTTTGTGTGTCTGTCATATTCTAGTTTCTTTTCGTTTTCACTTATTTGTTTCTGTATGTCTATGTTTGACTTTTTGACATCTGTTATTTGATTTTTGAGTGAACTCAAATTCATTTGACTTTGAGGGTTATAAGCTGTTCCGTCTGCAGCTCCACCATAGCCTGCCATTTTCGCTAAAAGTGCCGCTCTTAAACCTCCACTCTGTGCACCAATAACTCGGTTTAAAAGCATAGGGTTGCTTGACATTTGTTGCAACATAGTGGGGTCATTCAGCATTTGTTGTTGCAACTGTTGTTGTGGTGTCAGTTTTACTATTGGATGTTTCAATGCTCCCTTCCTCTTACGTATATTCTTACGTAGCTTACGTGGCATTTTAAGTGAAGTTAAAAAGCGGTTTTATACTAAACATCTTCGGGGCTAGAGGGCGCAACGCGCCTGGAAGCCCCACTACCTTTTTTTTTTCAAGTAGATGTGATTTGATTCTGTACAACTAAATATTAATATATTTAAAACATTGTAGAATTAAAATTTTTGACGATATCAATTTATAAAAAAAATGCAAGCGAATCCTTTTAATAAAGCTAAGATACGATTTGCTTCACTTTGTCCACCTAGTAAAGTGTTCAACACAGGGAGCATGGACTGGGAAGCATGTGGGCTACTTGCATTAGCCGGTAAAGGCACAATTTATCTCTATAAAACTACTAAAAATGATATTTCTTTCTTATGATCCATTGAAATTCTAAATTCTAACATAACTTGCCTTAAATTCCACTATGAGCTACCTTATCTTGCAATTTCAGACGATTGCGGAAGAGTTTTGTTATGGGATTGTGAATCAGGTCTTACACTCGGAATCACTCGTCAAGTATCTGAAGCTCAGTATGTATCGGAGCTTCAATGGTCCCGTAAAATCGTTTTAGGCTTTGCAGAACCAAATACAATTTATAGTATCGATTTTTGGCCGTATGAAGCTGAAGATCAAGCGAAAAACTCACGAATACTTTGGAAGATAGATGTTCCTGGTACATATACAAGGATGGCTGTTAATAGTTCAGATATATTCACTGCAATTCTATATTCTAATGGTCCATCCTTTACAATTATCACGTCAAAGAATGCCAAGCAGGCTCCAACATCTCAATCTCAATCCCATACTTTAGATAAATCAGAAAAAATCGTAGAAATTCAACATCATCCCCATATTAGTAATATTTTATTAATTATGCTTGAAGGAAAAATACTTACGTTTAACATAGCGACCAAATCTGGCCGAAATCTTGTAATCGATGAATCATCCCAATCATCTTTCCATAAACTGCTTCCTTCTTTAACAAATGACAACGAAATTACAGTTTATGGTCAAGACTCGTCACTCAGTATCTATATCTGTAACGAAGACTACATTTTTACAAAATCAGGAACAATAAAATTGAAAAGAGAGCTGTTTGACTTAAAATCGAAGTATTTACCACTATCCGCTGCATGTAACCGTGCACTTCCCGAGCGATACATCGCGTTCTCTCCATCAAATGGCTTAGTTATGTTTGCCATAAAAGATGATATACCTTACGTCATCGCGCAGTCTCAAATTATACCACAGATACCAACCTGTTACGATTTCTACGACGGAATCCTTGCTTTCGGCACTCCAACCGGAAAGATAATTTTCGCAGACGTTTCAGAAGGGAAATACACACAGAACTACCTTGCATCCAGCACATCCATTGAAAAGATCAAGTTCCTTACCAAAGATGTCCTTCTGTGGTACTCAAAAACCGAGTGTGGATCAATAAATCTTCCCAAGCGCCAAGTTATTCCAATCCACACTCGCCTTGGCCCTGCCACAGACCTAATATGTTCAGAGGAGCTCGGCGTTTTCGTCCACGGCAAATACGACCTTGGTATTTTTTATGATGTCAAACAAAAGCCGATGACTCTTCAAACATCCATCACCGCTGTTGCAGTCCAAGTATCCAGAATACCAGCAACATGT